TATGCAACAAGAACAAGGTCAGTCCAACCAGGAGTTTATAACTTAATATGTATTTAGCACAATGTAAAGCATCACTAGCTGAGAGCAAACAAGAAATAGAATTATTACAAGAGAAGATAACAACAATGAACTTACAACAAATTGAAAAAGATAAACAAGTGCAAGGTAAGTACTGGCATTTACATGTTTTAATTAATTTTTGGGTAGAAAAAGAACAAGTGTTACTATTAAAAATTAAAAACTTGGAGAAAGGTATGTTTTACTTCCAATTTAATACAATTATAACATTTAATTAATTTTAGCTTTGGAACAAGAAAAAATCCTCTTGTAAGCAGATTAGAATAATACTCCAAACCAATCCTCACTGATAATAGATATTTGAAGACAACATTTATGGTGAAATTGTCATTGATCATCCATTGATTATAAAAATTGTAAAAACACGTCAATTTCAAAGACTAAAAGATATCACACAATTAGGTGAACTGAACTATAATATTTACATTAGAATAAGTGTTGCATGAATAGGTTTGACGTATCAAAATATAGCAAATTATTCAAGACTTCAACACAGTATTGGGTGAATTTACTTTATAGCAGAATCATTATGTTGATGATAATTTCATTTCAGAATGTATTTTCTTGCTGGAGAATATGTTAAGCAGCTTCAAAGGAGACAACCTGAGCTGGATATTACTGATTCTGATGTTTTGTGTGTACAAATTGCTGCTCTTTGCTTTAACCTGGGTTATGGGCCTTTCTCTTATACTTTTGAATTGTTTTTGGATGAAATATACAAAGAAGAACAGATTCAAAGGCCTTGGAGTGTAGGTGTCTAAAAATTTGTGTGATGTATTTTTGTATCAATTCAGAATGTTTCTAAAGCATCAGTTTTGATGTTTGAATATATGCTACAAGATAATGAAGATTTAATGGCTTCTTTTAAAAGATATTTTGATAATCCTAAAGAAGATACCAATACATGTATTACCTTCATCAAAGACCTTATGAGAGAAAAAAGGAAAGTATGCATTTAGCCTTATTTTTAAATATGCTAACAATTAAAATATTATGTAGAGATCATGTTTTATTATTACAATTACTATCATTTAGGCACAGCTTGATGAGCTTATTGAAGACAAAGAATTTTTGTATGAGGTACAATAATTGTATTTTATATACATGTATGTATATTATTGTACATCACAGATCATATTGAATGAAAGTCAAATGAATGTCAAAGTAATCGATTACACAACAAGAGATGCTGCAGTATTGGGAACTAAAATCAATTTCAATTGGAGGTATTGTGTAGCAGGAAAATTTGGCAGTGCTTAGTATTGGTGATTCTATGATTGCAATTTTATGATTGAATAATTTAGCAGACATGTGTCATTGAGCATGTGAATAAAATTGGCAGATTTTGTAGTGGCAATTTTATCATTAACCAAAATAAAACTGCACCATTACATTTGTCAGTCTATTTCATTTTTATTTTACAGAGTATTCCTTGCCAAAATTCGTGTTTGAGGTGTGATGATGGTAAATTACACATCTGCTTCCATGAAGATGTTAGAAAACATTAGTTACATAATATATTTAAATCCACATTTTTACTATAATAGGATTTGGAGACATACAATGATTTTTTTAACACTCGCAGTAGCATTTACAGGGACCTATATTATTTTCGTAAAATAAGAATTGTTGCTTTAATGTAAGTACTTGTACATCTATTTAAGCATGCCTATTATTCAAAACTTGCAGGATTAAAATAATATTAACTAGAGCAAATGATACTAAATTGATACCTGTAGACATGGATAGGTACTGTTAATTTTGATATTTACTAATTTCATATTGACACAGAAAGGTGACTATATCTGATGCTGCTAGAAGTATGGCTGCTTACTGACAGTGTTCTTACTCTCATTAAATCAGCTGTTAAAGATCCTCTTGTTAGTGTTAAAAATATTATAATTAAATAATGGTACTATGTAAATAGGCACAAGGACTGTTAAAATGTTTGGACACATTGAAATATATTGCACAAATTGGTTACATTGTACCACCAGATAATTGGAATAAGGATCCAGACTACTTAGTAATTATTATTAAATAGATATAACTATATAATTTTCTCATAGAAAAAAGCTATTGTAAAAGCCACTGATAGTGATGACATTGAATATGATCTCATAATTGATGTAATTAATATATTTTTATGAATCTAATATTTGTATACATGTACTTGTAGCCAGTCCACAATGGATATTGTGGATATGAAGCATGGACACAATATTTTTATCGTGATGATGGCTCAACTGATAAATGGGAAGAAAAATGGGTTAGTTATGTCATACATCAATAGTCAAAACAAGTCTTTGTCTTGTTCAAATTAATATTTATCATCTAAAATTATTTTTGACCAATGAAAATATGGAGCTATACCGTACAAGTACAGTATATCATTATTTCTTGGATTGTAATAGGCACAAAAGAAATATCATGCTAGCTCCCCATGGCGTGTTTTCCTTGTCAGTGGTAATAGAAAATTGATGGCGGCAGTACAAGAGTAAGTAATAAATGTACTTATAACATTAGACTAACTCAATAATAATAGTGGATTGCAAAAAGTAATGGAAAATGAAAAGATTAAATTTGGGGTAAGAAACATATGTATAATTATTCCAACAGTTATATGTACAAAATTCTTAGAAAATTTATCCAGCTCCAGAAAATTTTGATTTGATGCCTGATATCTCATGATGTGAAAAGGTTTCAAACTTTCAATGGCATGTGTGAAATGAATTTCAAAAATCTACAATTTAATAATAATGCTCAGTACTTAGTGTAGAACATTTAATGCACAATGCTGCCTAATTAATATAGTGTGTTATAGTAACATAGTAAACATATCTTTTGATTTAAGTCATAATTATACAATTATAAATATTATTGGCAAAAGAACATGCACATACTATAACGTAATGAGATAACATATATCAGGATAAATGTAATATCCCTGCTTATATACATGTATAAACCTGCTAATGATACCAAGACTACTGATATTGATGATATTCTGGTCTTTAAAACTTGCATGTTCCTTTATAGCCTGTAGATAAGACTAGTACCTATCTAGTTGAAAGTGTTAACACAGTGATTAGGTCAATGATCAGGATAGACTGATGTGGCTGGAGCAAGCATAAATTATAATTACACTTCACATACATGTAGCTATAAATGCTTGAAAATGAAATCCACGAAAATGAATTTTGGGAAGATCCACAAAAGTTTTATCCCTCAAAAGTTGCCAGCTATATGGTATATTACACATGCTCATTCACGTTTTGGATTTGTCATTTTTGATGATAATAAAAGTAAACAATTGCAAGAAAATTAAACTAAATTAGCTTGGGCTATGAGACGATTATAGAGGAGAGTTAAATGCAATGTAGTTAAGTAATAATAATTAATAGAGAAAGACACAGCAATGATGAGAGAGGAGAGAATTATAAAAATAAAATATAACAATCTAATGGCATACATGAACAGTATCAGAGTGTACCAGTGGATCCTAATTTAGTGAGATCCATTGAACTAAATGAATGTCCATATCCTAATGCTTGTCTTTTAGTGGGAGGAGCTCTCATTGGAGTAGGAGGAAAAGGAGGAGCTACTGATAGCGTAGAAGTATTGAGAGTAGAATCCTATGAGAGGAGAGAGAGGGAGGGAGGGTATGTCACTCATAGTATTCTTACTAATACTATATTACTTACAAGATCAGTAAATGATTCATCCATTGTGTCTAACTGATCAACATTTTTACTAATAATATAAATACAATATGTACCACAATAATATCATAATATGTCACTATAATCTCTCTCTATACAGTATATCTATAAGTACCTCAATGGTGTGAATGGTCTTCTATTGGAACGATTTGATATAGTTCTCTTCACTTTCCTTCTCATTCCTTTAATACTATCACTAATAATTAATAATCAAGAAATAATAGATTGATGTAATACCAGACATGGGGCAAGCACTTAAGCATTTGTGCTTATAAGCACTTTAAGCACTTTTTTGTAAATGCTTCAAGGTGCTTGCAAGCATTAATCATATTGCAAGCACTTGTGCTTGACTTGTACTTAAGCTCTTTTTAATGTAAATGCTTTACAGCACTTTTTAAGCACTTTTAAAGCACTAATGCTTGTTTGTTTTATCAGTTATCACTAATATAGCTGTCATGCATGTGTATGACATCTATCATAACATACGCATGAGACCTGCTGTCAGTTTAACCTTTAAAGATGGGCACAACCACAAAGAAGCTACCAGATTTTATTACTTCAATCTTTTTGAAGTTTTGAGTGGTGCTTTCAGAGCCTAAGCGCCGCAAGCATTGCCTTGAATTATAGATTGAGTGCTTTACCTGTGCTTTAAGCATTTTTAACAGTGCCTTAGGTATTGCTTGAAGCACATTTTTTTAATTACAGCATTAGTGCTTGTGCTTGTGCTTAAGCATTTTCACAAGTGCTTTAGATGTGCTTGAAGCACATTGCTATATTGAAGCATTTGTGCTTGGCTTGTGCTTAAGCAATTTCCCCAGTGCTTTATGATGTGCTTCAAGCATTTTAGAAAGTGCTTGCCCCATGTCTGAATACAACAGAACAACTGAGCAAGAGGCAGGGAAAGAAAGAGCAGATAGCAGCAGAGAAGCAATGGAGCTAGCACCAAAGAGAGACAGAGAGAGAGAAAAAAAACTGACCTTCAAGTAATCCTGTACAGTGGACTCCTGTGATTGGACGGCCTCTGCCACTCTCTGGGTTTGGGTCAGCTGAAGCACTCCTTCTTGCCCCTCCACCAGCACCTCTCACGGGGGAGCGTGACCTGTCTCGACCTGGGGCTACCCCGCCAGGATCTCCTGGAGGAATAGCTGCCCCAGGATGTAGCCACTCCGCCAAGAACCTCAGCTGATCTTCAGAAAACAGATTCGCCATCATTGAACAGTGCAAGACCTCTAATCCGACGAAAGACGACACTGTACCACAGAGCAACAAGAAGACTACCTCGCTTTGCCACGCGCTTCAAACTGTGCCACGCCTACCCGGGCCCTCCCCCTTCATTAACTACATTTAAATTAATCTAAATTTCATAACA